TTGATCAGATAAGTGCCGAGTTATCTTCGTTCAAAGTTTAGATATCCAAAATAAAAAAGCTGCGGCCAAACTTTTTTTCAGCTTTTAATCAATATTTCTCAACATCCGTCTATTCAAATTCGGTAAAAAAAGTTTTTTTTTTAAATCCTTCATACTTGCAGAATCAAAATAAAAAAATTTTCATTGAATTTTGATAGATGGTGCTGAGAAATCATCGTTTAAAATTTCTAAAAGAAAAAATTTGCCGATTTTAGATTTTTTCCAAGATATTTCAAGCTTTTTCAAAACTTCTAGAGAAGGTTTCTCGATAACCACTAAACCAAATTCAATAAACCTTTTTTTATTTTAATTTTACAAATATATGGAATCAAAATAAAACGTTTTACTAAATTTGATCGAATGGTTACTGAGAAATCATCGCTAGAAGTTTAAAGAAATTTAATGTTTTGGCTTCGGAATTAGATCGGAAAGGATCTACAGTGATCTTCAGCCCGGAATTTTCTTGACATAAGGAAACCCCTAACTTATTTTCTAACCAGCCACTATTAGCAGCTTAGCCGACTAAATCACTAATCAAACCATGACTGTTCACTTTGATGTCGGCCGATTTCGGCAACTAATTTTCATGCAAATAACGAGGCCTTATAGGTATTCCTTGTTTGCTTATTATATACGTAAAATTAGAATTTTTGCTTAGAGTTAGAAGCAGTTACCACAGTAAAAGTAAATAGCAATTTGCCATTGTTGTGTTACGCGAATATTTTGTGATTTTATTGGTTCCGATCTATACAGTGTTCGGCATAGACGAATCTTTACAACAAATGGTTAATGCCATTATCATTAAATAAAAATTTTGATTATTAAATTATTGGGTACACTATCAAGATCTGTATACAGTACATATCCATTTTCCCTTCAAAATTAGTCCCAGATTCCGACATCTTTACCATCGTATTTTGCTATATCTCTAGCTCTTCTTTTTTCTTTGACCTTAATATTATTTCTTGTAGAATGTTGCTTATTAGTGGTTTTCTTTTTTGAAGTTTTTTTTAATGACCTTGCAACACGTTCCTTTATGTCGGATTCTGTAAGGCGATTTTTTATGGCAGTTGAAGGCCTTTTACTGCCCTCGTAAACTTTATAGTCACGATTGTCTAAAAGCTCGATATCAGAATTTGCATCATGATTATTTTCTGTTGAGATTGATTTTATATCCGCTGAGACATCTTTTGAATCAGTGTTCAGAAGCTGAAATTAAACGTTTTCCACGAAGAAAAGGTAATTAAATTAATAAAATATACATATTTATGTAATCAATGCAACTATTTAAAAAAAAAAGAGACTACTAACATCTTTATCTTCTAACAATGAAATATGATTGTTTTCGGTTTCGGTGGATTCATCGGTCTCATCTTGAGAGCTCTCATCAAATTCTTGTACATTGTCATTGTTTCTTGAGTATTCTCCTAATTCTAATTGATACTAAACGAAGACAAAAGTTGATGAATGATTTTACTTTTATAATGTATATTACAAATTAATCGAGATATATCTATTAAATACCGATTCCAATTCTTGTTGATACTTTTTAGTAAATCCACTTGCGGCAACTTGTACATCCAAACTGAATTCACGACTTATATCAAGCTTAAATTTTGGATACAATGTACTCTCGTAATTGAACCTCCTCTTAAAAAAAGTGCGAATGCATTCTACGTCACGGTTAAAATACCTAAGCAATAATAACATATACTACGTTAATTTTTTTTAAATAAGTAATTATAAATCACAGCCATTCGTATAGGCTAACCATTCAGCATCAGGATGCGAAGTGGATACCATTTGCGGGAAATCAATTAACACAGGATTCCCATTTTCTTTTACAAGAATATTAAACTCATTGAAATCTCCGTGAATAAGACCGTGCTGGGCTAACCTAACTATCAAATTCATAAGTTCAGAGTAGAGCTGGCCAGAATCTTGCACATCAGTTATCTGTCGCCTATACAGGACAAATTAAAATCAGATGCTTTTAAAAATAATTTATAATTTTACAAAGACCTTACAATGGATAAGCATCGATTAGTTCCATCACTATACAGTGTCGGACGTTATCGATTGGCTCTGGAACTGGAAAGCCATTTTCATATAAAACCTTAAAAAAAATTTAATATTATTTTTCCTTGTACTGAGCAGTACAGAGCGCTTCCACAATTTACCTTCATAAATGCATATTCTTTCATGGCAGCTAACCTTGACATGTACATCCAAGATGCTGATTTCCGTTTTTGAAGATAATCTCGTTTTGACTTTATTGCTCGAAAAGAGATTCGGCCAAGTCTAATTATTTTACAATTCGTTAACATTTTAAAAATGGGTTTACGCCATTAAAAGTTTGTGCATACCTATGTATTTTTAAGGCTAATTGATTTTCATTCTCGTCAGCAACGACGTATATATCTGTATAGATAAAATTTGCATTAATAAATAATATAATACAAAACAATTACGACTTGAAGTTATTCTTGCCTGATTCTTTTCCAACACCGATTTGATTGCCCACAGAATAAACACTCCCCCGCTTAACAAAAGTTTTTAAAGCAAGATAGTCATAACCACCATATGCTAATCTATATCCATCATCTATAAATTGTATTTAATTGTGAAAATTTTGCGGACTCAAACATTTAAATTTCTCATGATACGTGCATTTTGCATTGGTGACTCTAGAAATGAGATTTTTTTTGGCTAGTTCTCCAAGTATTTTATGACTACCACCATTACGCAAACCCGCGATTTGAGCGACAAGAGACGTAGGTACAACCTCATGATTCTTGGATCCCATTTCAACCTAATTTATGTGATATGGGATAAATTTAATATATTGAAAGAAATTTTGTAAATTAATACCTACAGCTGTCAGAACACGGAATTCTTCCGTATTCATATACCGTAACAGTTTTGCATCAAGCTTCATTATGAGAAATTATAGGACTAACGTTAATTTCGTCTGCGCCTTTATCTAAAATTTCACATGCAGATTGATGATCATTTGCACAAGATCTTTTTTAATTACTTTACCACTACTGCACTAATAGCTCTAGATAGAAAAAAAAAATTATGACAAAATCCGGTGGATCCGCTTTAAAACGACTAAAGTCGACGTTAAAAGAAGCTAAGGTCATTGGGCATGGCTCCCGCTCGAGTATGAGTAAAAAACAGAAGAGAAAAGGGAAGCCTAAAGGAGATGACAGAAATAATACTAAAGACAAATTAGAATTCTTAAAAAATAAAATCAATCCCTTCGAACTAAAAGTTACTAAAACTAAGCATAATGTACTGGGTAGAAAAGTGAAGGGTACCCAGGGTAGACCTGGTCTGAAAAGACAAATTGGTATAGAAAAAGTTTGTATAAAATATTTGGTTCGCAAATTACATAAGGAAGTGTTATAAGATTTGATCAACCAGCCAACTACATTATCCCATTTAGCGAAAAAAAACTTTACTTGTTGAAATGGAGAATCGGAACAAAGTAGGCGGATTAATTGATAGACGATTTGGTGAAGATGATCCAACCCTATCGCTGGAGGAAAAAATGCTGGAGAGATTCGCAAGAGAAAAAAAACAGGTATTCAATCTGAATTACTATATTTATCAATCATGCAATTATTCAATTTAATATTTATAAACATACAAAACTTTAGAGGCATTCAAATTCATCATTATTTAACCTCGAAGATGATAACTTGACGCATTACGGCCAGTCACTGGATTTAATCGATGATTTCGATGAACCTGATTTATCATTAAATGAGGAAGAAGATGCAGGTAAATAATTATTAAATCGAATGAGATTTTAGACAAATTCCTTCCTGGAGAGGTCTCTTTTAACTCTGATAATTTTAAGATAATTTTGCTTTATTGGATTTTTCATATTGCCTTAGGTATAATTGACCATGACACTGTCAATAAAAGTCATTTTGGAGGTTTTGAAGAAGACGAACAAAATAACGATAATAACGATGTAATTCTGTTTAATGCTACACGCATTCATCCGTAGAATTAAACACGTTAATAAAAAGTTAACTGGCTTCAAATTATATATAAATATATAGGAATCTGGACATAAAAAAAAGTCTAAGACAGAAGTCATGAAAGAAGTTATCGCAAAGAGCAAAATTTACAAGGTTACAATCATTTCACCATTTTCATTTGAATCGTACTGTATTTAAATTAAGCTTTTTCTTTAATCAATTAGTACGAACGCCAACTTGTGAAAGAGGAAGACGAACGCGTATGCAATGAACTGGATAATAATTTAGATGAAATCCGAAATCTCATATCACTGCCAAAGTCAGGAGTAAACCCTCTACCGACTCAAGAAGCCGCATTTCGAAATGTTATTTTAAATTCTACTATGTTCCTTTTTTTTTCTTTTTATGTGTTTATAATTATTGATATCTATATTATATATAGAAGTCTGTATCAAACGGATCGGCGTCAGAGAAAACCCTTAATACTTCTGACAAGGATGACGCGTACGATAGATATGTACGGGAGTTAGCACTTGACAGGCGCGCAAGGCCTACCGATAGAATAAAGTCAGAGGAAGAAATAGCTCTTGAGGAGAAAGAAAAACTTGAAAGATTAGAAGTAATTATACATACACATACATTCTTTATTGAAATAGTTAATCATACCTTTGTCGAATTGACAGATTGCGCGGAAACGGCGCATGGAGGGATTGGACCCAGAGTCTGATGATGATTCTGATGATGATTCCGTTAAGCGCAAAAAACAAAAACGAACTTCCATGACGGATGATCCGGATTATGATCATATGTCCGAAAATTATGATGATAATCTTGGCGGAGGAATTAGTTTGAAGGATTCCACAACAATTGAACAAGCACAAGATGAAGATACATCTGATGATGAGCACGATAACAATGAAGACGATGATGAAGACAATGATGATAGTGATGACTATTATTCAGATCTTGATTTGGCAGCTTCTGATGATAATCAAACTTTGAGCGACGATAATAATGATATCTCCATCCCAATTGCCGAAAGCGATCATGATGCTACCGATTTATCATCTGATGTATTGCCAATGAATTCAAAAAATTTGGCTGTTAAACATGGAATTACTAAAACTAATGATAAGTCTGAATTAGCATATACTTTTCCTTGTCCAACAACCCTGGCAGAATTCTTAAAAATATTGCGGGATGTTGATGATGAGGAAGTTCATGTGGTGGTGTATCGAATTCGTGTGCTACATCACATAAAGCTCTCTGTCGAAAACAAAGTAAAATTGGAGGTTAGTATTCGTATAAAATGTTTATTAATGAAATGATGCGTTCGAATCATGATGATGCAATTCCTAATTTGTTCATTATAATTACAAGAAATTCTTTCCAGTACTTATGGACTATGTTCTACATCGTGCGCAAGAAAACCCTGTGCCGATGCTCCTTATCAATAAACTTGTTGGTCATATTTTTGATCTCGTACAGCAAGTACCGGAAAGTGCTACAGATTACTTTTTGTCCAAGATTATTGCCATGGAAAATAACTTGACAAAAAGATTATCCTCTTCTGGTTTGAAAAATTCAAAGCTAAAGTTTCCCACCATTTCTGAATTTATTTTATTAAGAATATTATCCCAAGTTTTTCCGACATCTGATTTTCATCATCCAGTAACTACCCCTACTTTATTACTTATGGCACAATATCTTGCACAATGTCCTCTGTTAAATGGTTTAGATTTAGTGTCTGGTTTGTTTTTATGTAATTTAATGCATGAGGTAGGTTAGATTATTACCACATTGAATATACCGTAAATCACCGTATAAACGGCCTAAGATGATACATTCCACATATTACTATATATAAATTACCAACCAAAACGCTAGAGTCACTCACATTTCGCTAAATTCTTAATCCCGATATATATATCTTCTACTATGATGGAGTCTTCTATGCGGTGATTTACGAGTTAATTATTGTATATTTAGTTCACGAATAATTGAGAATGCATATTTTTAGTATCAAATTTTATCGAACCGCATTATTCCTGAAGTTCTCAATTTCCTTTTTATCGCGCTTGTATACCTTGCACCGCAAGGCACGTTTAACTCGATGGAATCAGTTCCTGGAATCTTTCCATTTTCTAGCAAATTTGTTCCCACTCTTCAAATAAAAGATACGACCTATATTGATGACGCCAATCCTTTAGATTTTTCGCAATTGTCAAGTGTGGTGAATGGCAATGGAAACAACAATGTTTTTGATAATGATGTATTTCGGTAATTTTGAAATCAATGACATCTCGTTTCGTTTAGAACTAATCGATATTATTGTTTAAGGCTATTTTCTTTTATTTATTATTATTAGTTTATCAGCATTAATGGCTACTCTACATTTAGTTGAAAATTTTGCAAAAATGTATAATTCCGCTCCAGCATTTTCAGAGCTTTTTGAGCCTGCATCCAAAATTATTGATGCTTACCCGCTAGATAAATTTTCTAGCACAATTAAGGTACTTTGACATGTTTGCTTAAATTTTTTGCAGCCAAGATTGATAATTAACTTTGATTTAATAGATGAAAATAGGTTCAATACGAAAAACATTGGAACGATTGCAAAAATTTTCTAAAAAAAGCCGTAAACCTCTAGAATTGCAACATCACCGTCCTATTCCTCTTCCCACTTACGCTCCCAAATTTCAAGAAAAGTATGATTCAAATCATTTATCTTGATGTATTTTTTAGGCAACAAAATTAATACTTTAGCCTTTTTTATAGTTTCTCTATTGATAAACATTATGATCCAGATAGAGAACGAGCTAATTTAAATAAACTCAAAGCACAATACAAGAAAGAACGCAAAGGAGCGATCCGAGAATTAAGGAAAGACAGTATATATATTGCGCATCATAATATCAGAAAGGTTAAAGAAAAGGATACATTATACAAAAAAAGAATCAATAGTATCATGGGCATTCTTGAAAGTGAGCAAGGAGAGAAAAAAGCCTATGAAAAAGCCAAGAAGTACGGAAAAATTTAAGCTAGTTTTAGGTAAATCTGGGAGGCGTCTAAAGCCAGGTGCGATCACGTGTCCAACAGCCAGTCAAGATGATTAATTCGGATGAAAATGTAAGATATACAAATCTAAACCTGCCTTGGAGCACTTATTAAAAATGTCAGGAAAGCAATTTTACATATAAGACTTGCCCTAATCCTAATTTCCTAACCAACCCTTACCCTAATTTTAATTAAGTATGAACGCAATTTTTTATATAATAAAATTTTAGCCAATAAAAATATAAAAAATTTTTTTACTTTATTATTATTTACATTAATTTTAAAAAAGAATTTATAGATTAAAATTAATAAAAAAAAACAAATCAATTCAACTTAGGCCATGCAAAATTAATTAATTGGTTTTCATAACCCGGCCGGGTCAAAATTTGAAAGCTTCAAAAAAAAATTATAAAATTTTATATATGAAAATTAAAAAAAAAAGCCAGCCGGCCGGCCGGGTCTATTTAAAAATTTCTTGTTATGAAAACCAAGTAATTAAATTTGTATGGCCTTATGTTGGTTTTGCACCTATTATATATTTTATTATGTTTTTTGGATTTTTTTGTTTTTAAATATAAATTTTTAACACAATTTTCATGTTAGTAATTTTTTAGAGTTTGGGTTAGGATTTGAGAAAAGCGTAGAGCATTTTTACTTAGAATATCTTGCATTGATTAATTAACTAGTTTTTGAGATAATATATATATACAGTATATATGTGTAAATCACCATAGGTGCGTTTTAGTAAAAGTATTAATAGCATTTTCTTTATTAAGATATATTGTATATTAAACATAAATAAAGATTAAGGTTAAAATTAAAGTTAGATTTAAATTATATCAAATATATACATAGTAGAGTAGCGATCCGTATAATCCTCTGATCCTATGCGGATTTATAAATAAACTATCCGTAAAGTAATTATACTCGGATAGACTTTGATTATCCGTCAGATATCTGGATATCCGGTTTAAATTAATCAGTGACTATAAATAATAAGGTAGCTGCGCAACGTAGTTGCGCTAAAACCAGAAACGGATAACAAATATTATATTTCAAGTTCTAATTATTAATAATAGATAAATTTACTTGCTAACTTGATTTTATAAGTATATATGCTAAATTTGTTGCATTTATCTAAACTAATTAAGACTATTTAAAAGCTATTTCATAATTCCTGCAACGCAATAAAAAATTTGGAACACTTCAAGAAAGATGAACCCAGTGATCATTATATTACGTGAATTCATGTAATCGAGTCATTTGTTTACTAGTACTAACAAAATCGGCCTAAACTAACTGTCACCTAACCCTAACATTTAATCCTAATCCTAACTCTAACTTAGACCGAAAGATTTATCATGCGGTGTAATGATCAATGGATTCACTGCTCTTGAAACTACCTCCGAATTTTAATTATATCTAGCTTTTTATTATTAACATCCATTTGAGTAATATTAGATATGTTTACTATAAAGGTTTATTTTATATTCAAAGCCTTCTTTAGGTTTCTTATCAAGATTTATTGGTTGGTATTAATAGGTTTTTCCCTAAACTAAACATACCAAACATATTAGGCAAGTATTAAAGAAAAGTTTAATAACGTTGAATGTGTCGACATTATAAGTACTGTATAATATTATAAGTGATATAGAGATACTGTCTTTTATATGCTTGATTATGCTTAAATAACAAACTTAGATGAACGACAAGAAGTCATCCTGTAAATATTTTATTAGTGTTCCCTCAAGGTGTTTCAGAAATTCTGAACAGCTATAAAAATAGTTATCTTCAAACTTTGAAGCTGTAATCCAAAACTTCTATATAGTTTTCTTATACTTAAACATCAACTGTTAATCAAATATTTATAATATAAAAGGATTTGACAAATAGAAAAACCGTGAGCCGTAACTATGGCCAAATTTGCAGATAATTTGGCCTGGTTTGAAATTATTTGACTTCAAAGCTGGCCAAATGATCTGCAAATTTGACCAAAGTTACAACTCGAGTTTTCTATTTTTCACAAATCTGCTAATATGGTTATGTTTAAATAAGCTTAGATAAATATTTTTTTACATTATTGATAATGCAAAGGCTTAGATAAAATATCATGTGCTATTGTTATTATCTGATGTTTGCATATTTTTAGAAACAAGTTAATAGCTATATTACCACACTTTATTTATTAGGCTTAACACTAGCATCATGTCAATTAATTTAGTTTAATTAAAAAAGTTCTTAATGAGGTGTTATTTATTATATTAATATTTAAGCTTTCATTTTACTGCAAAATTGGCATTGTCTTATTTTATATATGCTAATAATCACAAAATTTATTTAAGTATCGAAATAGTAAAATAAAAGTATTGTGAAAATAGTAACAGTAAAGCGAGTTATTTTATATTTCTGTTATAGGTGATGAATAATTATAATTGGTCATTAATTTAAGAAATCGGTATTTAAAAGAATGAACACAAAGCATTCAAATATAATCAAAAATCTAATAGTAATTTAATTTTAAACTATAATACTAACCCTACCCTATCTTAAGCTGAGTGTTTATTCATATTAAGTTGCAGTATAATAAGTATTAGGGGTTGTTAATTACTTTTTAAACTATATAAACATGTATTGCCAAATACACTGTTTAATTTAATATTCATAATTCCAAATTTGATCTTTATCTTTTTAAAAATATGTTAATTTTGAAAGACCTTAACAAAGATTCACAAACACTATACTTTCTTAAAGTATATTAATTACTACAGTAATAAATTAATGACACCAAGAGAAATGTGACTTCAATTATCCAGAATTTATATGATTGAAGTTTCATTTTCTCTTGAAGTTACTTAAAATAATATCTAATATACTTACTTGAACTAGATTAATGTGAAATTAAGATATAATGTAAATATAATATATATATACAAATTTAAATATCTTATTTTTAAAATGTACATTGGTCAATAAAAGCTATCTATCATTATACTCACTAATTTATCAAAATAATATAATATAATGCTTTGGTAAATATTCAAATTATTCACAAAATCATTTTGTCAAAATGCTATTAAAATAAGCAATAGTAGTTTTAAGAAATTTTTAGTATAGAAAATAATAAATTAAAAATAACTTTACTTATTGTTATGATTATTTATACCTGTACCTAATAATGGGACCCTTGAATTAGTAATAATAATAATTTATAATTATTAATCAATTAGTTGAGTTATTAACTAGAAACTATTTGATAATGTGCAATGCAGTATTATTTTTTATTTCAAAATTTATCAGACTTTAAGGTTTAATTTTATTATAATTTTACATATACTGTAATATGCAGTTTTCTAATGTAATTACATAGGGATTATTGGCAATAATCAAATTATTACTGGCTAATAATTTTGGTTATTTTTTTTATTATTATAGCGCTTTTCAAATCACTGTGATTAGTAATTTTTATACATCACACTCGAAATCAGAAATCTAGAATAAATACAAATCAGTGATTGGCTAAAAATATTTTTTATTTAATCATGTATTGGCATTTTTTCCAGATTTCTGATTCCCGGTATAATGTATGAAAATCACTGATCACAGTAATTTGAAAAGTGCTGTAAAACAAGTAATGATATATATAAAGACACTAATTAAATATATATTATTATAATTATTATAATGTTATAGTATTATAGGATCACTACAAAGATACTGTAGTATTATGATATTACAGCATTATGGCATTGCGGCATTACAGCATTGTAGTATTACGGCACATAATATTTATAGCAATTAGGTTCTGTGCTATAATTAATTTTACTATATGGTAGAATGTTGTAATTCAGTAATTCTGCCATCAATACTATCTGCACTATATGGATCTGCTTATCTATACCAACTATACTGGTCTGTAATTTTTCCTCTAATACTATATAAGGTGATTCAATTTTATATGATTAATCTATATCCAGACCAATATACATTGCTTTGATAGGACAATTCGAACATTAGACATTAGACAAATTTCTAATGTCTGAATTCTATTCATACCAACTCTGTTAGAAATAAAGTTTGTGATAATTTTTTGCTTGTAATATTTTATTCTTAAAAGTGCTTTAAAGTGTATAATAATTTACCTGGGCAATTGATTTATATTAGCCAATCAAAAGAATTTATGCCTATGAGCTCTTGGTATATATGGATGTCTAAAATGTCCATCTTAATAATAATGTAATTACAGCATTTAGACAGCCAAAATTTGTTTTATATAGTGCTGAAATTAATTTTCATATTTGTCAAAATTATTGCTGAAATTTTTAAAACTCTTTTCATCAAAATACATTATACAATATAGTTATTTCTAAGGATTTCTTATAAAAAATTTAGCAATGCCAGAATGTTTAATGAAAATTGATTTTTTAAATATAATTTAGGCACCATGTATAGATCTTTGTGAATATTATAGTACTACTATATTGTTTATAAGAGTGCTATTTCTTTAGTAGTACAAAGCCAATCTGTCCATTGTAATTTTGTAAACTTTGAACTTAAGCATTCTCATAGTATGCCAGAAGTAATTCAATTAATATAACAAATACTTTATTAATAAATCTTTAATTTCTCAATTTGTTATATTAACAATACTAAGCCTGATAAACAAAATGTGAAATGTAATAGCCAATCAGATATCTAAAAGTAGACAAATATCAAGCCACATATCCAGTTAGTTAAAGAGATCACTTTAACGTTAACAGCATAGAGCTTTAATCTAAATATTCATTATTATATCTTTCTTAGTCTTTAATGATGCTTTCTCAATATACCAATATGATAATAGTATAACAAACTTATGACAATGCAGCAATATTGATAAATAATATAGCAAGCAATGTAATCATAGACAGTAGGTCAACTGATCAAAAAGACAGCTAAGCAGTGATGCATTAGCAAGCGACAATCACATGGTGATCCCAGTTCTAA